GTACACCTGCTCTGTCACACACCTCAGTCTGGACAACAAACTGGACGTCACTTTGGGTAATCAGTTCACATGAGGCTAGTGCACATAAATGTTATATTTGAAATATATATTTGAAATATAATTTAAAGGAATGTCTTTGTGACCTTTTATCTTACTTCAGAGTAAACATTTGAGTCAGTGCGTTCCTCAGTGCTAGTGGTTTGGGTATTGGGGTTGCTGTTATTGACTGTGGCTGCTATTATATTGAATATTATATGGAGAAAAAGATGGCATTCAGGTTATATCAGGTTAAGAAATAAAACAGTAAAATACAATGAAAAGAGATAGATCCTTTGACAAATAAATATAGTTTTGTAAGTAATAATGTATACTAATTAATTTGAATTAATTTCCTGTGTTTTGTTGTAGCTTCCTCTACAAGTGATTACTCATCTGCTTCTAGTGAGTATTTTCAGTGTAGTTCATGTCATTTTTTAAAGTTGTGACCCCCCGATCGTACTTTAATTTCAACATAGCAAACAACTGTAAATTGAACTGAAATTAATATTTCCTAATTATCTGAACTTCCTTTTCTGCAATGTCGGAGTGGGTTTATGGGTAAAATAACATGATTGGTTCCATTTGTGAGCATTTATTTGGCACCATGTGAAAATATGTAAACTTATAATCTGCCTTTGTTAATACAGAATTTTAGTTAAAAATGCTCTTTGAAATATATATATATATGTATAATTACTTTTAGTACTACTCCAGGTTTTACATGATGTTACTATATTTTGAGGATCATTTTTATGCTAACTTCTTTCATCCATGAAGAAGTTTCTATAAAGGGTTAAGCCTTTGGAAGTAAAATAGTATTTTGAAGATTCAGTTAAGCAATCATTTTTGTTATACAAAAATGTTTGATAAACACAAAATAATTGAGTACTAAACACATCAATAATTGAGTACTAAACACATCAATGTAGATGTATTTACATATTTACAGTGGTATTTCTCCCACAGAAACTTGTTTTTTCTTTCATATTGTAGTTAAGTTTTAAAGTAAAGTAGCATCATGCGGCAGAAGCATAAAGGCAACTTACAAGTGCAAGAGAGAAGTTTATAATAAATGTTTTTTTAATCACTGTCTATGTACTGAACAGACC